GTGGATGTCCCATCGCTTGCTTCCAGATAATATAAAGGAGCGGATTAGGCGGTATGAGCAATATAGATGGCAAGAAACTAGAGGTGTTGATGAAGAGACCCTTGTCCATAATCTTCCCAAGGATCTTAGAAGAGACATTAAGCGTCACCTCTGCTTGGCTTTGCTCATGAGAGTGAGTTATTCATCTTTTTGTAATTTCCACTGGTGTTGCACATATTGATGGTGTTTTAACTGATATTTCCCTTGCTACTACCTGCAAATGTTGGCTTCATCTCCTTGTGGTTTCAAATGTTCTTTCAAATTACATCTTTGGTTAGCAATTTATTGATATGACTAGTTGATCTGCATTTATCATTTCAGAACTATTTAGTGCACTTTTATTGGAGACATGTCTTGAGAATCCTTTAAACCACCCATTTTGGAGAAAGGTTCATTTTTCTGTAGTTTTTTTTTTTTTGCATGAATGTTATATGAAGAGGTTTAAGCTCTTATTGCCTGCTCATTTTATTGTGCATGCATACTCCACGATCTACAAAGAAGAAAGGCCGCCAGAAATTACTTTGAGTTGAAATTTCATTGCATCCTTGGTTAGCTACTAGATGTTTAATTTCTTCTCTTGTTTGGGATGTGATTCTCAGGTGCCGATGTTTGAAAAAATGGATGAACAATTACTAGATGCTATGTGTGACCGTCTTAAGCCAGCATTATACACAGAGGAGAGCTACATTGTCCGTGAGGGTGACCCAGTTGATGAAATGCTCTTTGTGATGCGGGGCAAGCTTTTGACCATGACCACCAATGGTGGAAGAACTGGCTTCTTCAACTCTGAATACCTCAAGGCTGGTGACTTTTGTGGAGAGGAACTTCTCACATGGGCTTTAGATCCCCACTCCTCATCTAATCTGCCTATCTCAACTAGAACAGTTCGAACCATTACAGAAGTTGAAGCCTTCGCTCTAATGGCTGATGACTTGAAATTTGTTGCTTCTCAATTCCGGCGGCTCCACAGTAAGCAGCTCCGGCACACTTTCAGGTTTTACTCACAGCAGTGGAGGACATGGGCAGCCTGTTTTATACAGGCTGCATGGCGTCGTTATAGTAAAAAGAAGCTCGAAGAGTCTCTTCGGCAAGAGGAAAATAGACTGCAAGATGCATTAGCCAAGGCTAGTGCAAGCTCACCAAGTTTAGGTGCCACAATATATGCCTCCAGATTTGCTGCTAATGCATTGCGTGCTCTACGGCGTGGTGGCAATCGCAAGTCAAGGGTACCAGATAGAGTTCCACCAATGCTGCTGCAGAAGCCAGCAGAGCCTGATTTTACTGCTGAAGAATGAATGACGGGAAGTATGCTACTTTTCATAATTTGTGCTTTTGATTGTTTGTAGATGCTAGACCAACTTTTTCCAGCAAAATATTAGATAAAAAAAAAAATTCAAGAAAGAAGAGCTTGGCACAATGTTATGGCAGATGACTGCAGTTAGTGGGTGTTCCGAGGCCTGTATATGTATATGTATATCATGTTGTATATGGAAGGGTTCAATAGTTTCCTGAGTTGATTTATGTTCATAGTTTAGAACAGAGAAATCTAACAGGATGTAATGAATTAGTGCAGAGTGGTGTCTGAACATGCAGAGCTATGTTAAGGAAAGGCATGCAAGATTACTTATTCTAGCCTTTTCTGATTTTTTTTTTATTAAGAATATCATTAATTGATTTGTTTCTCAAATAATTATTAAGATGATGCATGTCATCATCCTATTGGTTAGTAGTTAGTCAATCTGATGAAAATTGGTCAAACTAACATAGCTTCGTCATAGAGATGGACAGAAGAATACATGTCTCAAGATGTTTTTCAAGGGCTAAAAATGGAATCTGCTTTTAGTTTTCACTATTGTAGGGATCAAATTGAAAACATTTTTGGAAAATGGACTGAATTTATTATATTGTTAGAGGTGAGCCCCGCCCACGCCCACTACACAACTCCCGATTGACGAGGACCTTCCACAGGAGAAATAAACAACTGTCATTGTTTGTATCCTTGTATGTTTTTGTCATTGTTTGTATCCTTGTATGTTTTTTAAAACATAGTATTTTGGACATTTCCTGTCTACGTAGAATTCATTAACACAAATCACTTCAATTGTCTGGTTGATTCTGAAGGGGTGAAAAGAAATTTGTACTGTAATATTCTTCGACACAAAAATGTAAACAATTTGAAATATTAACTTTTCGTGGTAAAATATATATTAATAATATCTTTTTATTTTTTAAAAAATATTTTTGATATTAATATATTTAAATATTTAAAAATACTAAAAATATACTAATTTAAAATAAATAAAAATTATTTTTTTAATTTTTTTCAAAAATATTTTTAAAACACGTAAATAGACCTTAAAGATACAAATTAAAGTTCATGTCCGAACCATTTACACCATTTACAGTTCATATACAGTTCTTCTTTTCTTAATTTTGCACTTCACACTTTACCAAAAAAAAAAAATCGAGTCTAGAAAGTTATTAATTATTTCTTAACGAAGAGCAGAGATCATTAACATCACTTGAATATTATGTTTACATTAATCAATATCAAGTAGATTTCTTTTGGCCAGAGTGATCTAGCAATTTCTCTAATTATAAATATGAACAATCAAACATAAAATACAATGCTTATGATATTAAAAACAACATGATTTTCACAATCAAATAATTATTTTAAAACAACACACCTAGATCTGCAATAATTAAATCATTTGAGAGATTGAGATCATGAATATGATTTAATGAAGAAAACTATGTTTTTTTTTTTCCTTTTCTAATCCTCAATTATTTTTTACGTGAATTGTTTATATATCACACAACTACCTCTTAAATAGAAAATTACTTCTCAAATCAACAAATAGAATTTTATCATTAATATTTGTTAAGCTATTTAATAGCCTATTATCTCATTTATATGTGACATCTTTCAATCAAAGAGGTTAATTCTCGTAACTTCATCACGATATTTTAAAAGTAAATTTGTTAATATGGTAATAGTTATTTTTAAAGTATTTTTTACTTAAAAATATATTAAAATAATATTTTTGACATTACCATATTAAATTTATCTGAAAATAAAAAAATAATTTGAAATAATAAAAAGATAAAAAATATAATTTTTATTTAAAAATATTTTTAAAATAAAAAAATAAATAGGTTATGTATCGTTTAAAAACTTGATATGCTTGGTTAACTTCATTAATAAACCTCAAAAGCCTGAAAGTTAACTTCGTCTAATGCTAGTGAACCAAGAATTGCTCCCAATGATGTTAAATTGATAGATTTGATTTTGTGAAGATTAAATTGTTGTTTTTGGTAATTAATTGAAGTGTCTTTACTTTGAAATAAATTATATGAAGAGGTGTATGATACTGATTTTTATGTTTTTCAATGGAGGACATTTCTCTGCTTTACATTAAAATAAAATAAAATGTTTTACTCATAATGAGTACACAGACACAATTATAGAGGTTTCAAATGTGACTCTCATTTATGAATCTTTCTTTTTATCTTTAAAATTTAACGAGTACACAACTAATCACTTCTTAATAAAGACCAGAAATTATTAACTTCTCTCGGATACTAAGTTTACTCATAATTATTAAACCCGTCTAATAATTAATAAAATAATCTAATAATTTAAAATATGATTTAAATTGAGTTCATTTTAAATAACTGTTGACCTGAGTTTGATTTTGTAAAACAAAGATTGTTTTTTCATAATGGCATTAAAAAAGATCTTGATGACGCGGAAATTCATGAAGAAAAAAGAAGAGGACAATTTAAATTAACTTATATTAATTTAAATATTGAAAAGGAAACTTAAGCTCCCTCTCCATATATAATTCCTTGTATTTCAAAACCTGTAATATTTAGCGTTCATGTTCCATAAACAACCAAAATAAATACAAGTCTAAGTATTATATTAAATTACTATGACATTTAAAATTTAAAATAATAATGTCATTTTTCTTTTACTAATTATTATCACTACAACTAAAAACTTGAGCTCAGTTTAACTAATCATATAAACACATAACAAATTATATAAACAATGAATCAAGTTAATATATTTTTTTAATTGTATGATCAAGAACTTCATATCATAATTCTTAACATTTTTGTATAATAAGGACAGGGGAGGATTTTATTAATTCTAAGGAGACAAGCAACCTCTCTCTTTGTCTTCCAGAAAAAAAAAGAGAGAGAGAGCATATGACCTCGTATAACAAGTTAAGAAAAAAAGTAGTCATATTTTTGGGAGAAAACGAGAGGACATGGTTTTCTTGTTTTTAATTTCTCTGATTTTATTCAATACGTTTAAATAAATTTGTGTTTAATTTTTATCATATATATTTATAAAATATAAACAGTTGTTATGAATAAAGAATAATATTTTATCTAGTCATATATTATTCATAATATGAACTATATAAGCATATAATTTAATATTTATAGGATTTTGAATAAAAATAAATAAATTATATTAAATCACTATATGACATTTAAAATTTAAAATGATAATCCCATTTTTTTAAACTAATTTATCTAAAAAAAATCTTATAACAAGTTTACATGCTTAATCTATAGTCATTTTAATTCAAATATCACAATAATAAATTTATTCTCAACACAATAACTTGATTGTTTTGTTTCATGGCACAACACAACAAAACACAATACACGAAACCATCTAGATGGTGGTCAAATGGTAAGAATTTGGGATTAAGGGATTTGCTCCTTCTTTGGTTTCAGATTCGAATCCTTAGTTGCTCATATGATGACCACTGAAGGTTTATATAGTCGTTAACTTTAAAACTTGTACGATTAGTCGTGATACGCACAAGTTGGTCTAAACACCCACATTAATCTAAAAAAACACGATTAACAGACCACAACATTAACCGAATCATTGTGCAGCACAATGCTGTCCAACGTGAATTCAAATAGGCTCAAAGGAATAGAGCACAACTTCCAAGTAAGCTAAAATACTTGCTCCAAGCTAAAGCCACTTCACTTTCAAGCTAGATCGATCAATCACTTGGTATAAATTACTATTCATGAGTTTTAGTTAAGAGATCCTATTCTTGTGTTTATCATTAGTGTGTATACGTACTAACAATGTCTGTAGCACTAAATATTGAGGGCCCTTCACATAGTCCTTCGCATAGTACAAGCTGCAGTACTGATCATGCGTGGCTGCAGTCCTTGATGACCGAAAGTAGGGCCGGAAATAATTCCAACCAAGTGAATGAGCTAGAGGTTCCAAGGGTTCCATCAGAGTTTCGTAAAATGAAAGAGAACACGGATTGCTATGAGCCACTGGTTGTCTCCATCGGTCCCTATCACCATGGGAAAAAAGAACTCAAGGAAATGGAGAAGCTCAAGGCTGAAATGGCCGGCCAGTTTGTCAAAGATAGTAGAGTGACTGCTGAAGAAATGTACAGCAAGGTCAAAGAATTGGTCAACGATGCAAGGAAATGCTATGCAGAGGAGTCAACACGTCAGTTCAACGATGAGAAACTCACCCAGATGATGTTTCTTGATGGCCATTTCATTCTCCATGTTGTCTCCAACAAGCTTGAGAAACAGAAGCTGAGGAAGGAAGAAGTTGCTTCGGTTAGAAGGGACTTGTTCTTACTAGAGAACCAACTCCCCTTTCGAGTTCTTATCCCATTGATGAGGTTGTTGGTTACAAAGTATGCTAATGTTTAATTTAACTAGATGTGATTTAGCATGAACATGAACTAGAATTTTTACTTTTGTTGAAGTAGTAATCTTAGCATTAAAATTATAATTGTTGATGAACTCAGGTTATATAAAAGGAAAGGGGATCACATTGCCGTGGAGGATACTTCTCCGTCCAAACAAGTAAAACAATCTTCTTTCTGCCATCTACTTTAGTTCTTTTGTGTTTAGTTTAGGAGCATTCTAAATTTATTAATTTTTTATTGAATTATTTATATTATTCTGCTCATTATTAAATTGCATGCATCATATATTGTACTCGCATAAAAAAATGAACTAAACAATTTTATTGCATTTTTTCCAGAGTTCGAGTCCGGAAAGTAAAGATCAAAATTGGAGGAAAATGCTTAAACATTTCTTCAAAGACATTCATGAAATACCCCCTCAAAGAGAGTTGTGCTGGAAAAAAATATCCCTTTTTTTTTCAGACTTGCCAAGAGCATTAAAATTAAGTTCGAAATCCCCAAGATTCAAGGATTCTGCCTTGGGTTTAGATTCTTACGATCATCTTCTCGAATTTTTTTATTTCATGTTCGTATACGGCCAAGTAGGACAAGATCAACCAGAGAGAAGAAGGTACGGGGAGATCACAAGCTGGAACCGGTATTATTCTGTCAACGAGCTTAAGAACGTTGGGATTTCTTTTATGCCAAGCAACACCCGTGTTTTCACTGATGTCAAGTTCAAAAATACATTGCTCGGTGGAGCACTATGCATTCCTCCACTAAGCATAGAGGACTCAACCAAGTCCTTGCTTCTGAACTTGGCAGCCTATGAAACATGCGCTGGTTGGTATTATGGTAGGTGCACTTCGTATGTATGCCTTATGCGTTCACTGATTGATAAACCTGAAGATGTGAAGGAGCTGCGGTCAAAGGGAATACTCCGCACCACTATAGGAAGTGACGATCAGATAGCACAAATCTTCAAAGAGATAACAACCAATCTGGCGCCCAACCCTACTGCTTATACGAAGGTCAAAGGCTCTGTTGAATCGCATTATAGAAGCAGTGTCAAGAGATGGATCCTTGAAAATAAGGGTCCTTTTTCTAGAGCAGTGGTCAAGTACTCTTTTATTTATGGCATTGCAGTAAGTGCCATACAAGCTTACTTAGCAGAAACTAAAGAGAAACCAGGTTTGGGCAACTGCAGCTGCTCAAACGCCACCCTATAACACCCTTAAAACTTGATCATACACATAAGAGCTGTTTAAAAAATCTTCGTCCTTTTGTTTTCCCCATTAACAGTGTGGATTGGTTTGCCATATATATATATATATGTACTGTTGTACTGTTTTTCTGTTTGGATTGTCATTTCTTTCAAGAAGTCGTGTGATTCAAATTGATAATTAATAAGCAATATCATTTTCAGATACAAATTTATTAATGCATTCGCTTTTGCACTTTCAAGAAGTCGTACAATTTACAGTTCATGGTTCTTTCTTTTCTTCGCTTTTGCATTTTCAAGCTTCCATGGAAGCAGTAAAGCATATATATTGATTGAAGCTATCTTTATCCCCCACGCATTTCACATCTTACAGCATGGAAATTTTTTTTAAAAATCAAGTCTAGCTTGATCAAGATACGAATAGTTACTTCTTAATTAAGAGTAGAAATCATTAATTACTTTAATTAATTAAGAGCAGAAATCATTAACATCACTTTAATATTGGGTATACATAAATCGATATTGACAAATACCCTACAATATCTAAAAATTAATATTTTTTTTAATATGAGCCTAGCTACCTTCAGATAAAAGGATAATTAATATGATATCAATGCCATCTTTTCTATTAAAAAAATATGTGAAATAGATAAAGCAAATCCAAGGTGTAGGGTATTAGTGTGCATAAAAGGAAGAGATAAAGCTTAATGAAATTGATATTTTTGTTAGAGTTGCTGGGGATACAGGATGATGATGTGATACATTATACACTATGTCATCAATTCAATTAACACAAATTACGAAGTAAAGAAACAGTTCAGTGAGTTTAATTACCAAAATAAAGAAAATCAAGGATTAATTAGCTGTTACTTCGCTAAGAAAATTAATCTCCAAGATACGAGTTATTAGTACCATCAAATGATCATGTGTAAAGGTAACCAAAATATAATAAATAAAGTTGTTTTTCATGTAAAAAAAAGTAGAAGAATTTTTTAAAAACAAAGTAAAGAGTTCATAAACATACCGAAGCATGAACTCAATTCTTAGTTGATCCTAAAATATAATAAACTTTGAAATAAATTCTATGAAGAGGTGTATGAGTGTTTGATACTGATTTTTATGTTTTTCAATGGAGGACATTTCTCTGTTTTACATTAAAAAAAATGTTTTACTCATAACGAGTACACAGACACAATCATAGAGGTTTCACATGTGACTCTCATTTATGAATCTTTCTTTTTATCTTTAATATTTACGCAGTTGCTTGTAACACTGGTAATGGTGAAAAGAAATTCTGTCTAATCTTGCTCAACACAAGATTGAAAAGACAAAATATATAAGTGGCAGGGATAACTTCTATAGTAGCTAGAAAAAGAATGTAAAGAAGAAGACAGCTTGTTCTTTATTCTATAAAAAGTTATATATAAAGGGCAGAGAGAGCAAATTAAAGTTCTTTCCTGAACAATTTTGGAGGGCCATGCATTCATAACTTTACATATGTATACCAGAGTTTTAAAATCCAGACCGGCAGGTTGACTCGGGATCCGACCGATCCGGGCCTGGGATCGGTCCGAATGAAAGTAAAAACTCGCTTAGAAATTGACCTGAAAAAACCCAGTCGACCCGGGACCTTGTCCACCTGGTCAAACCCGGGTGAGACCCGGTCAATTAACTATAGTGAGAGAGAGACGAGGAGAGATGGTTTTGATGGATAAAATTAAAGATTCAGGGAGAAGGAAGTTGAATGCAACATGATAGAAACTATGGTTACTCTTAGATAATCAAAAATCCCTACCCAGATCGAAAACTGCAACCAATAGTACCCAAGATACCAAGAAAACAAATAGATTACCCCTCAAGAAACTCTTCTACGAGGACCGTAAAATCTGAAGTTGATGATATTGACAATCTAGAGTTTGAAACTTACTGTGTGTGGACGCTAAAGAAAAAGGAGGGGTCTTCAGGGAGCTGCAAGAAAAGCAGCTCTACAGGGTCTAATGGAAGTTCAAAGATTTTATTTGTTGGAGTAATAGTGATGATAAGGACACTTTTGTGTTCTTGATGTCTAATAACAAGAAAAATGACTTTCATCATCAAAGATTAGATAGTGATAACCAAGATGGGAACCATAATAAACAGGGCATGGAGAAAAGGAAAGAAGCAAAAGGAGCTGGAAGAAGTTTGTTTTAATTTCAAGAACATTATTACATGAGGAATACAGAAGGGGATAAACGTTGCTCCTATTTGCCTTACAAGCCTGATTTGGTGGGGTTTTTGTTTAATGTTAATAGGGTGGAAAGGAATCTTCATCCATTCTGAGAGGTAGCGAATGATTAATATATTTTTATTTTATGTTTTTATAATTTTTTCTCTTAATAACTAATTTTATGTATTAATTTTATTGTTGTTTTTGTAGTAGGGATCATTTATAATTTCCAGGATGGATTTCAATTTTGTGTGTAGATAAAATAATTAAGTTGTTGTGATGGATGATATTATACGTTTACAATAGATTTTTAAATATATATATATATATATATATATATTTAAAAAAATAAAAAAGGAGTCATTTTTCCTTCTTCCCAGCTTATTGATATAAGTTAATATATTGTTAGATCTTGTAGCAACTAGGATATTGGCACGTAGAAATTCTATAATAATCGCTCATTGATTGGTTGAGAAAACTGTGTCTCATAGGACAGGAAAGGTAGCCAGTGGCTCTTGCAAATTTGGAACCGCCAATTATTCCTGTTATTAGATATGAAGAATACAAAAACTGTTTTTTTATTAATTCGGGTTAATCTAGATTAATCTATTTAATCTATAACCTAATTATTTAATTAAATTAATGATTAGATCGGTATCAAAACTATAATATATACTCCCCATGCATTTCACACTTCACCTCATTAAAAGATAATAATACTTCTTAATAAAGACTAGAAGTCTAGCTCAAACAACTAATTACTTCTTAATAAAGACCAGAAATCATTTTTTTTTTGGATACTAGGTTTACTCATATTTATTAAACCTTATAAATTGATATAATAATCTAATAATTTAAAATTTGATTTAAGTTAGATTTTATTTCAAATTATTATTGACTTACAGATTGTTGGCTCGGTAGAAAAAAAGATTGAAAATTTATTTTTTTTGGATAAAAATATTAAACTCGTATTAACGGGATAATTTAATTACTCAAAGCTTGAATTGAATTAAATTCTAAACTGGATGGAAGTGACAAACATGATTTACTTAAATTATTCACATATACTTCATCTATATTTGCATAATTTCTAAGGTTATTTGGTTAGAAAAATTCTACATTAGTTTGTAAACTTATTTTCTAAAACAAAAACCATTTTTTATGGCCTCTTTTTTTTTTATTAATCTCTTTATTTTCTAAAAGCATTTATTTTTTAATATGAGTTTTTATTTTCTTTGAGTTTTATAAATTTTTTTTTTTACAATTCTGTCTTTTAATATGAGGTTTTTATTTTATTTTATTTTTTATTATTAGATTAATGATAAATCTATTTTCATATTTTATTATTATATAATAAAAGTCTTTTGTTTTTTTTTTCCATTTCTCCTTTTAATATGCTTTTCTTTAATTTTCTTTAGGTTGTTTTTATCTTTTTTTTGTTTTAATTTCATTTTTTAATATAAGATTTTTATTTAATTTTATCTTTTAATATTAAATTAATTTTTTTTAGACCTACCCAACGAGTAAAATTATGTCAGGAAAATTCCCATATGATTTAATTTAAACCTATACTAAAAAATAGTTGGATAATGATTTTTCAAATTTAAACCGTTATACAGAGTTTCATGATAATGCTAAAATAATTTCAACAATCTAAATATTAAATTTTTATGTTCACATTTTTAATCCAAACCACAACAAGAGCATAATTAATAAATTAGTCAATACAATTAAAAGACTAAACGACATGAAGTAACTTTAATTGTTCATATTGTTGCTACATATTTTTTAACTTATATTTTTAATAATTTTTTAGAAAAATAAAAAATAACAAAAAAACAATAAAAAATCTAAAAAATATATATTTTTATATATTTAAATTATTTTTAACATTTCCAATGTTATATCAAAAAAATTTAAATTTTCAAAATTATTTGAAATGCGTTCAGCTTTTAACGTGTAAATTTTATAATTATTTTTTTTTGTTGAGCTAATGCTAATATTGTTTATTTAAAAAAAAATAAAAAAATAAAAATTAAATATATAAAAAAAAATTGAGAGACTGATTTATTTTTTGGTTGCTTGGGGGCAAGCAATTAAAAATTACAAATTTTATTATCTATAAAAAGGGAAGAAAAATTGACTCCGGGGAGAAAAAAAATTCAGGAGAAAAGGGTGAGGCAGGGGGCGGGGGGGCGGAGAAAAATTTTAAGGGAAAAGGGCAGCTGAAAAATGAAACCCTTAACCTAAAATTATTTCTCTGAGGCCAGGCGCTGCCCCCCTCTCTTTAAAAAAAGCCCAACCCGCCTATAGCGGCAGCCCCGCTATCTTCTTCCCAGCCTCTCTTAGAGCCACGGGGACAACAGCTCCACAGTAACACCCTAGCGCCACTGTCAGCTCCAGTATCACCGAGGCCACCGCTAGCAATCCAAGCCCGGCAGAACCCACAGAACCCCCCTTGGTCTAGCACGGCAACCTCCACCCTCACCTCGGAGTCGTCAGCCACCATGAAGATGAAGAACTAAACTCAGATCTGAAAAAGAAAGAAGACTAGGAACAAATGAAAGAAAGGAAAGCTAAAACAGACTGTTGGGATTTTGTTGATTTGCAGGTGATGTTGCTTCTCACCGTCGGTGCAAACGGGAAGAGGAGAAGGAAACCATCATGGATCTCCCCCTGCTCTCTGGATCCCGAGATGGCACGTGAACCCACGCGCCGCCAGTTGCGGTGGCACGTGGAGAAGATGCGCGTGAATTTAAATCACGAACTTGGACTAATCCTTCTAGTAGCAGAACTTTCTACCCTTACATTACATATTTAAATGGGAATATTTACATATTTAAATGGGAATATCTACATATTTTGATATTAATATTAATTAATTCAAAAAC